TCATGATGTATCATACACAAACTGTCTGATCTTGTGTGCTCTTCTGACAGTAGAGGAGTGTAGACCCACTCTGCTGCTCTTCCCATCCTGCACCCAAACACAACCTGTCAGTGATGCACACCCTTCCAGTTTCTCCGAGGTGCTTACATGCACATTTGTATATCTTATCGATTTATTATCACAAGTAGATATTATTTTATATATTCCTATAATTTTGCATTATGTTGTTTTACATATTTTACAACTTCTCCTAGATTGGTACACGTAGGTGTCTGTCGTTTTTTAGTAGTTATAATAGTGTTCCAGCCTATGTGTGGCTTAGGTATTCTTCTCATTTTGTCCATGGTCACACAGTCATTAGTAGGGTTAATAAGGTCACACAATTATTAGCTGGGTTGCGTTTAGGACCCTCGTCTTCTCTGGTCCCTGGTTGGTGTTTTTTTCCTGGTAGTACTGGACTTTTGCATACATATTTTAAAGCTAACTATTGTGAATTAATCACCTTGTTTCCATTTTGCTTACATAAAGCCAAAACATTCCACTTAGAAGTTAAATTCTTTTCCATCTGCAGCATCATCATATTTTCTTACTACCCTATATTCATTTTGCTAGGAGTGCTAGTTGCATTCCTTTTTTTCTTTTCCCCCCCCACCTTTGAGACAGGGTCTCTGTCACCCAGATTGGAATACGGTGGCGCAATCTCAGCTCACTGCAACTTCTGCTTCCCAGGCTCAAATGATCCTCTCACTTCAGCCTCCCAAGTATTATAGCTGGGACTACAGGCACACTCCACCACACCCAGCTAATTTTTGTTTTTGTTTTTTGTAGAGACGGGTTTCGCCATGTCACCCAGGCTGGTCTTGAACTCCTGGACTCAAGCGATCCACCTGCCCCTAGCCTCCCAAAGTGCTGAGATTACAGGCATGAGCCACCACGCCCTGCCTGCATTTCGTTTTTTCTAACTAGAATATGCTTTCCTTGGAAAAGATTTTTATGCATCCCTGGATACACTTTGTATGATAGTAGGTGCTTAATAAAAGTTTGCGGCTCCCTCCTGCCACCTTCTATCCCTATCCTGTCCTGGAATGGCTGTCTTGGGAACACCATGTACTCTGATGAGACCTTTCTCAGTTTGTACTCCCAGAGACTGCTGTTTTTCCACATATATGTCTCCAGACTCCTGGGTGAGCTGCTTGTTTTCCTCTAAAAGAAGAAACCCTCTCGTCTTCCCTGCTCTTTTGATCTCTGTTTCTCTGCTCCTGTCATCTTGTCTTGTCGTCCTTGCTATGGCTCCGCCAGACCCCACTGCAGAGAACCCCAGAGATTAGTGGCTTTCCCAGCCCTCAGGCAATCCCTGGCTGTGGAATTCCAACTAAATATTTGCCGGTTCCTCTGTTCAGGAATGTGCAATCCTCTTGTGGATAATTGACTTTATGTGTGGTGAAGTAGTGGCTTGGTCAAGGGCAACTGAAGGATAGGTACCTTTGAAAACAAGAGCATTAGGCAAAATTAATTTAAATGGTAATTTGAAGGCTGAAACCCAACTACTTTTTAAATGGATAATTTTAAAAATTAGGTTTTTAGCACTGGAAAATATTTCTCAAGGCTGTTCATGTATATTTAGCCACAACAACTGTGTCCTTGCAAAAATGCTTTAGTGCTGTTCTCCTTTTCATTTCTTTGTTTATTCTCCTTGACTAAGTTACTGGAATTAACAGGCTTAGTGCTGTGTCCTGTAAAAAGACTGGAATCTCCAGCTTTTGGATAGCTCTGTTTTAGAAAGGTGACTGTCTTAGAGAACAGTCCTTAATACAGTGTTAATGGGAAGACTCAGAATGAGTCCAGAAGTATAAAATGCCCTGGCTGTGGAGGGGCTTCCATCAAACAAGGAATGTGTATTCATTGTAGAAAAACGAAATGAGACTTTCAGCCTACACAAAGTAAAATACTTTAGGTCATATTTCTGAGGTGTCCATATCTGTCCGTTGTTGTTGAGCATAGGATTTGCTCCTGTGTTCGTTGTGGTGGTTTCTTTTTGTTTGTAAAGTGATAACAGCTAGCGTTTATTGACCATATGTTGGGCACTGTGTTGAGGTCTTCCACTTATTCCTCACAACAGTGCTGTGAGGTAGGGATTCATACTATTTTTGTCCCCATTTAACCTTCATCCCAATGCTATGTGGTGGATACCATTACCACCCCCCACTTTACAGCTAAGGAAACTGAGGCTTAAAGGGAGCAATATGCTCCAGGTCACATTGTTATAAGTAGTGGATCCAGGATTTCTTACTCCTCCTCCTCCTCCTCCCTCCTCCCTCCTCCCTCCTCCCTCCTCTACTGTTCTCTGATAACTGTTCTTGGAGAGTTACCCTGGGCTGCCCTGGCAGGCAGGATAGAGCAGTGGCAAAGAGTACAGAGTGTGGTGCCAGACTGTGGATTCAAGCCGCTGCTTCCTACTGAAGTGAACTTGGGCAAATTGCTTCACTTCTCTGTGTGCCTTTGTGTCTTCACCTGTAAGATGGATAAATAAATAAAAGTACCTACTACATAGGGTTGTGGAGTTAATAACATGGAAATTCAAACAGTGCTTGGCACATAGTAAGTGCTCATTAATAGCTATTGTTATTATTGTAACCCAGTGGTTTTTAAATTAAATCTGTGTTTCAGGTAGGAATGCTTTCAGCTGTGAGTAGTGGAAACCTTGAGGTTTAGTAGCTTGAATAGGGGTGTATATTTCTCACCTACCAAGATGTCTGCAGGTGTGGAGAGTGTTGATGTTAATCCAGTTGTTCTGCAATGCTGTCAGGGACCCAACACCTTTCTGTCCTGATACACTACCCTCTCTAGCACGTCCACCTACTTTAGGTTCACAAGATGGCTGTAGGAGCTCTAGACATTATATTTGCATTCAAGGCAGAACGAAGGGGAGAGAGCTGAAAAGTCATGACAGTCCCCCCGCCTCAACCCTCCAATCAATAAAAGCAGAAGCTGTCCCCAGGTATACTAGCAGGCTTGTGTTTTCGTCTTATTGGCTAGAACTAGGGTGTGCCATTCCTTGCTGTAGTAGATTCTGGAAAAGGATATATTCAATGGTTTATAGGGATCAGCACATGAGGACCTACTGTTAAATTTTCAAGGAATTTGTAATCTAGTTGATATCGCCTTGAATAGCTTGAAATCTGCCATGGTGGGAGAGTTTAAACCACAGACACCAGCAAATGCTACCCATCGTCCCTTTTCCCACAAGCTGGCTGTTAAAAAACATTTACCAGCACACTATTGGGTACATTTATTAGGTTGGTGCAAAAGTGATTGCCATTGAAAGTAATGGCAAAACCTGCAATCACTTTTGCACCAACCTAATAACTCTAAATGCCAGCTTGAAAGGTGGCAGAAGGTAAAGATGTGAGAAGTAGGAATTGGGAATGGTCACTGGGCCAGCCAGCAGCATCTACCAAGATCAGCAAACTGTTTAAGCTCTTTTAATACCAGTGATAGTTGGAGATCAGAACTGAGGGGACCTCTCAAGATCACCTAGGATAGCCCCTTCATTTGACTAATGGGAATCTGAGGAGGTGCTTTGCTCCAGAGCCCAAAGCCAGGGAGTGAAGTGGCCCTCCTAGAACCCAGACATCCTTGACAGTCCAGTGTTCATTCTCCAGAACCAAGGGCTTCATACTGCCTTTCTGATAACTCCCCTTCCCTTTCTTCCCGACTCCTGGTGCATGCCCACTGTACTCTTCCTTTTACCAGCTTCATAGTGCTGGGAAGCTTGGCTGTTATCATCCCCACTGGTTTCACAGAAAGCCTAGTTTAAACTGATTTATTTTAGATTTTAGTGTATAGAACATTCAGCTTTTTTTAATAAATGAGATAAGCTTAAAGAATTTGATCTCTGCTATGCTATAGTACAAACTAATCCATGGGAACTTAAGAATTTACCTAATTTTGATCTGTATTTCTTTACAGAAGGAATAAGCTTAACTAAAGATGAATATTCTTTCTTAAAAAAGACTGAAACTTTTTTCATACACAGTCATGCACTGCATGTGTGATGGTGGCTGGCTTCATAAGTTTATATCATATTTTTATGTGCCTTTTCTATATTTAATTGTGGTTAAATATATACATACTTACCATTGTGTTACAGTTGCCTACAGTACCCAGTATAGTAATAGGTTGTACAGGTATGTAGCCTAGGAGCAATAAGCTATGCATACAGCGTAGGTGTTTAGTGGGCTAAACCATCTGGTATGTGTAAGTATACTTTATGAAGTCCACACAATGACGAAATCTCCTAATGATGCATTTCTCAGAACCTGTCCTCATTGTTAAGTAATACATGACTGTATTTTTATCTGACTCTCCTCTTCAGATTGTAAGCTCTTTGGGGACAGGCTTTGCAGGCTGGCTTGTTTTTGTTCTTATGGAGATGGATATACACACAGCTGTGCATGTGGCAGACACTTAGCAAATATTAACTGAATGAATGTCCAACTTGCACTGGTCTCACATCTTCAGATAACAGAAAAGTAATCAGCAACTGTTGTCTTACTGTGGACTCTAGTGTGGAAATGTCTGAATCAGGTGTTTGATTCTCTAAACTGCTTTCCCTCAACTGCCTGATACGATTGATGAAAAAGAGGCCCACTGATAAAAACAATGGCCTCACTAGTGTGAAGACATGGGGAGGCTTGAGATTGAAACAGAATGTTGGAAAGATGTACATTTCCAGAAACAGTCATTGAGATATTGATAGGGTTTATCCAGCCCCTCACTCTTTTTTAATTAATCCAGTCCCATGCCTGCTCTCTTCTCATGTGTTCACAGTAAAAGTTGCATGTTATTGAAATCCCTAAAATCATCATTTTGAGGAAGTCTTAACTAGGAAACAGACTCTCGACAGCTCTGTCAAAGACAAGAATATGTTTATGTGATTTTGTTTCTTCACATGGCTGAATACGGTCCCTAACTGATTCTGAATATGTATTTATCCACAGCCAAGCTACATCAGTGACGTGGGACCCCCTGGTCGAAGCTCTCTGGATAGCATTGAGATGGCCTATGCGCGGCAGGTGAGTGTGCTCTCAAGGGGGATTAAGCCAGGAAATTCCTTTGTGAACCTCTAGAGAATAAAAGGGAACAAAAACTTGTAAAAGTCAAACCCTGAAAGCAAGTTGTATTTTTTCATTTAGAGGACTAGTTAATATTTTACCATAGGCCACTGGAGAATTCTATCAAATAGGGTAATAGAATTACTCACATTTGATTTGAGGAAATTGAAATCTGTCCTTTACACTGACCACAGCATCTCAGTATGCATTTTTGGCAACAGTCCCATGTACAGTAAAGCTTCAGGTAACTGCACTGCTTAGCAAATGGAGTTCTGTATTAACTGACTTACCTGGTAAGCTGGTGGTATTAACAAATCCTTTTTTCACTCTTTGTTGAGAGAAATTTTCTAAATGCTTTTCTGTCTTGATAAGCATAGTGTATTCACTACTTAATACCACTGTTGTCCTAGAAAAGCTCATAATATTTTAGGGGTCATCCTTCTGGTTGTAGATGAGGACCGTGCAATAATATGGATATGGATTGAGATGCTTTGTGGTAAGCACAGGAATTCTGTTGGACTGAAACCACCCTGAGGACCATACATAACCTGGAACTGACTTTTTAAATAAAGCAGTGCCAGCTGACTTTGTGCTTTATTGTAATTTGCTGCTTTTCCCCACAAAGTACAAAGAAGGAAAAATATTCCTGTTTCTTGAATTGAGGGCAGTGGGCCTTCATCCCCTTAAGATTATCCTCCACCAGCAGTGGTCCAGGAATATCTGCTCAGCCATTATCACCTCCTGGATTCTTTGAGGGGGACCCGGGGGTCCCACTTATGGCCCTCAACATTACCCACCTCATCCTCCTCCAGCCTGGAGTAGGGTGGTTGGAGGCAAAAACAGAGCAGCTATGGAGGTGAGCAGGAAGCAGTGAGAAACTGTTAGACCCTGTGCTCTTTTACCAAGGTCCTTCTCTTCAACTGCCAGTTATTTAGTCAGTGGAGTTCCACATGAATTGAGTTACCTGGTTAGCTGATGGTATTATCAGAAGTCCCTCTTTTACCCTTTCTTGAGAGAAATTTTCTAAATGTCTTTTTAAAAATCTCTCTTCTTTGGGGTGCCATTGCCACTTCAAACTCCAGACAGCTGAAGCCCCCAGCTTCATCAACTTCCCACACATGAGATCCCTTCCTTCCAACCCCCTCATGTTTTGCCACTGGCCTTCATTTATTTCCTCCTGCTCCAATTTTATACCTCTCTCTTTTTATTCCCCCTGTGCATCTGCATCCTTTACTCGTCACCTTCATTGTATGGCTGACTCCTCTATTGCCACGGAGAGAGTCCTGATGAATTACAGGCTTCTGAAGAGAGAGACTGTGTCTTCTACACCTGCAAGGACTAAAGATGTCATTAACATTTCATAGCACATACTACACCGAAATATTGTGTCTGTTTACACGGCTTTCCTCTCCACTAAAGAGTGAAGCTTTATATCCCATGTTGAACAGTACCTTGCAAAGGAAGGCCTGTAAGAAATGCTCATTGAGTGAATAAGTACTACATCATGGTTTAAAACCATTTTATTGATTGGTTGGTTGGGTGCTTGAGACGGAGTCTTGCTCTTTCACCCAGGGTGGAGTGCAATGGTGCGATCTCAGCTCACTGAAGCCTCCGCTTCTGCCTCCCAGATTCAAGCGATTCTCCTGTCTCAGCCTCCCAAGTAGCTGGGATTACAGGCATGCACCACCACACCTGGCTAATTTTTGTATTTTTAGTACATACCGGGGTTTCACCATGTTGGCCACGCTGGTCTTGAGCTCCTGACCTCAGGTGATCCACCCGCCTCTATCGGGAGAACCCGCTCCCGATATTTACGTGGGTTCTTTTCTGTTTCTTAAGTGTCTCGGCTGGTTTGAGAAATAAAGGGAAAGAGCACAAGAGAGAGAAATTTAAAGCTGGGTGTCTGGGCAAGACATCACATGTCGGCAGGATCTGTGATGTTCCCCAAGCCGTAAAACCAGCAAGTTTTTATTAGCGATTTTCAAAAGGGGAGGGAGTGCACGAATAGGGTGTGGGTCACAGAGATCACATGCTTCACAAGATAATAAAATATCACAAGGCAAATGGAGGCAGGGCGAGATCACAGGACCACGGGATGAGGCAAAATTAAAATTGCTAATGAAGTTTCGGGCACGCTTTGTCGTTGATAACATCTTCTCAGGAAATAGGGTTTGAGAGAAGACAACCTGTCTGACCAAAATTTATTAGGCGGGAATTTCCTCTTCCTAATATGCCTGGGAGCTCTACAGGAGACTGGGGCTTATTTCATCCCTTCGACTTCGACCATAAAAGACGGCACACCTTAAAGGGGCCGTCTGTAAGCCTACCTTCAGGGCGCATTCTCTTTCTCAGGGATGCTCCTTGCTGAGAAAAAGAATTCAGCGATATTTCTCCTATTTGCTTTTGAAAGAGGAGAAATGTAGCTCTGTTCTGTCTGGCTCACCAGCGGCCAGTTCAAAGTTACCTCTCTCGTTCCCTGAACATCGCTATTATCCTGTTCTATTTTCAAGATGCCCAGATTTCATATTGTTCAAACACATATGCTCCGCAATCACAGGGTCCTGAGGCGACATTCATCCTCCTCAGTTTACGAAGAAGATGATGGGATTAAGAGATTAAAGTAAAGACAGGCATAGGAAATTATAAAAGTATTAATTTGGGGAACTAATAAATGTCCATGAAATCTTCACAATTTATGTTCTGCCGTGGCTTCAGCCGGTCCCTCCATTCGGAGTCCCTGACTTCCCGCAACACGCCTCGGCCTCCCAAAGTGCTGGGATTACAGGCATGAGCCACTGCGCCCAGCAAAACCATTTAATCTTCATAACAGCCCTGGAAGATGAATGATACGGATGTTCCCCATTTAACGTAGAGGAAACTACAGTTCAGCAGAGTCGTGATTTGTCTAACATCACTACTTTGGGAGAGCAAAGACTTCATATACAAAGTGGAATCTTCCACAAGAAGATTTAGAATCTTAACTAGTTAAGTCCTGTTTCACTTCCGTAGTAGGACTTAACTAGTTCTAAATCTGGAAGAGTGAATTTACGATTTCTACTATCATCATTTTAGCTCCTTGAAAATAAAATCCAAAGTAAGAGTGGTTTTCCCATAGCTTAAATATCACATAGTTCATTTTCCTTAAGAAAATCTTACCTGAAGAACAGAGATTCTTTCCAGGAGAAATGGATATTCCACATGTGCCTCTCCCGCTATTCTAACACTTATGGAGGGAGGCAGTGCCCAACATTCCTCACTCCATCCATGAACCCTATACCAGGGCCATTCCGTCATTTTGAAATAATTGAGTCCTTTGCCTTGGTTATTAGGAAGCAGCAGCCAGACCCCTTCCATTCTCCTGTCTTTCCCGGGTGCTTCCTCACTAGGACAGAGAGGCACAGACCTGCCTGTGGTTCTTCTCCCCCTGGACCCCGCTGGTCCCATTCCTCAGGTGTTTGGAAGGCGGGGTGGCAGTTAGCTTTAGTGTGTTATCCACAGCCCCAGCACAACTGGGGAGCTGGCCAGTGTGCATGGCTCAGCCACTCCAAGGAAGGAAAGGTTGGCCAAAGTTTCTGCCGGCCATTGCCTGCTTCAGGGGGTTTTAAAAAGAGAAAGTAGATACTGTGCCATTTACTTTGCTTTTTATCATTTCAGATTTATATCTATAATGAGAAAATTGTAAACGGACACCTGCAGCCTAACCTGGTGGACCTTTGTTCTTCCGTCGCAGAGCTGGATGATAAGGTAGAACCTAGAACTAACTCAAGTAGAAACCGGGGTCCAGTGTTTTGATGGGGCTAGCAGCTTGCCGACTTGGCTGAAATGTGCTGTGGAAACACCCCATTCTGTGGAATGAAATGTTAACTGTTCCTCAGAGTTTTATTTTAAATAACTTTGGGTGGTTTTCTTGATGATGAATTTTTAAAAATGCATCTTCAAAAGGCCCTGCCAGTATCAATTGATAGTCACAAGAGTTCTTTTCAAGCCGTATTTGCTTTGAAGTCCCATCAGGCTTTTACTCCCCACTTACCAGTTTCCCTCCTTACACAAGCTAATAGAGTCCTTAATGAGAGCTGAATTGTCAAGGTCATGGCTTTTCACACCTGTGAGCCCTCGAACTTGACTCAGGTGGGACTTTTGTGAGCATTCTTTATGTACCACTGGTTCTGTTCCTCTGACAAACACATATACTGCCTTTATTTATTCTCCTCCCTCACCCCTTACTCCTGGCCAGTTTTTTGCCCCAAGGGGCAAAAAAATAAAAATAAAATAAAAAAATAAGTGGATGGATGACTACTTGGTAGGTGGCTAGGAGGAAGGAAGAAAGGAGGGAAGGCTGTTATGGAAGAAAGCACCCATACACAGATTTTTTTTGTCTTTTAAAAACTTGCTCAGCCCAGTGTGGTGGCTCACACCTGTAACCCTAGCACGTTTTGAGGCTGAGGTGGGTGGATTGCTTGCACACAGGAGTTCAAGACCAGCTTGGGCAACATGGCAAGACCGCCTCTCTACAAAAAATAGAAAAATTAACCGGGTGTGGTGGCATGTACCTCTAGTCTCAGCTGCTTGAGAGGCTGAGGTGGGAGGATTACCTGAGTCCAGGGAGGTCAAGGCTGCAGGGAACCATGATCATGCCAGTGTACTCCAGCCTGGGTGACAAAGAGTGAGGCCCTGTCTCAAAAAAAAGTATCTAACTTTTAATTTTTTTTTCTTTTTCTTTTCTTTTTTTTTTTTTTTTTTTTGAGTTGGAGTTTCACTCTTGTTGCCCAGGCTGGAGTGCAATGGTGAGATCTGGGCTCACTGCAGCCTCCACCTCCTGGGTTCAAGTGATTCTCCTACCTCAGCCTCCCGAGTAGCTGGGACTACAGGCACCTGCCACCATGCCTAGCTAATTGTTTGTATTTTTAGTAGAGGTGGGGTTTCACCATGTTGGCTAGGATGGTCTCGAGCTTAATTTTTTTAAATAGTAAAATATAAGATAACCTAAACAGATCTAAAGAAGAAAGTCAGGTTTCACCAATCATTCCACCATCTAGGAAGAGTCACATTTGTCTGGACAGTCTGAAGTTTTAATTTTTGAGAGAGACCATGAAAACGGGCTTTTCTCTTTTGCTTTGGAACAAGTATAAACCTTTTTCTCCGATCAGTGCTATCCTCTAAGGACTCATACATTTAAAGTATTGCCAAGGGTTCAGGGAACACGTTGTTTTTAAGGAGCGATTTATAGGCAGAAGGATTCTGGGGAGAGGGAGTCCCAGCTGTGTGGTGGTAACACAGAGGAAAGAACGCCCGCTCCTTTCCTGGGAGGCATCTTTTGAAGGGAGTGAGTGGGAAGGAAAATGGGAGGCTGTGACACTCACCAAGTAAGGTAAAAGCGGTGGCCCCTGGAGCGTCTCTGGGAGGACGAAAACCTGTATTATTAGGTTAAACTCTTATTTTAAGCCTTTAGAAACTCAAGATAACCTTGTAAGGACTGAAATGCAGCTCTTGGAGTTTAAACTCCTAGAACTTTGGATGACCGTAAATGGATTCCTACTCTCTGAAGGGATAACCCGCTGAGATTCAGTGTTCTTGCAACTTGTGTGTAGTTTTAATTATGTATGTGGTTATGTCAGACCTGGAATAGTAATTGATATGAAAACCAACTCAGGGCAGGGGTAGGGGGTGCTTATCGGTGGATGGGACTCTGAAGTCTGGCCAGCAGAGGCGCATCTTCTGCACTGAGCTTAAGCCTAGCAGTCACAGACAGATGACATTAACCTCATCCCCCACCTTACTGTGCCAGCCTTGGAGGTCAGAGTGCCACAAAGAACCACATAATTTCTCTGACCCTGCAGCATTGTCACATGTAGTTTTGTTTATATGCAGAGCATTTCTGACATGTGGACCATGGTAAAACAAATGACAGACGTGTTGTTGACACCGGCAACTGATGCCCTGAAGAACCGCAGCAGCGTGGAAGTGCGCATGGAGTTTGTCAGGCAGGCCTTGGCGTACCTTGAGCAGAGGTAAGGCAGCAATAGCACAGTGGGGCTGGCTTTCAAATCCCTTGCAGTCAACCGTTTCTCAGATCTTAAGTTGTCCTCAGGTTAAGTGTGCTGTAGCTGGTATAATTTAAGATTTATTATGGCCGGGCGCGGTGGCTCATGCCTGTAATCCCAGCACTTTGGGAGGCCGAGGCGGGCGGATCACGAGGTCAGGAGATCAAGACCATCCTGGCTAACACGGTGAAACCCCGTCTCTCCTAAAAATACAAAAAATTAGCCGGGCGTGGTGGCAGGCGCCTGTAGTCCCAGCTACTCGGAGGCTGAGGCAGGAGAATGGCGTGAACCCGGGAAGCAGAGCTTGCAGTGAGCCGAGATGGCGCCACCGCACTCCAGCCTAGGCGACAAAGCGAGACTCCGTCTCAAAAAAAAAAAAAAAAAAAGATTTATTATGTTAAATTGAACAAGGCTCAGAGTTGTAATCCTGTTTCAGAAATCCTGTTTTACTTACCTACCAGGACTGTTTCTGCAGTCACACATTAAAATAAAAATCACACATTAAAAAATCACGGTAGGTGAGCACTGTTCGAATTCCCTTTTTCTTTCTCCACACTCTGTCTCTTAATACGTAAAGCCATAGTGCCTTAGGTCATAATCTTTTTCTAATGTGGTTCAGCCATTACTCCTTAGGCTCTTTTTTTTTCTCTCCACATTTTAATTTTACTCCCAGGCATGTTACTACCTTCAAACCCTAGGAAAACTCCTTTCCCCTTATTTTCTGACTCTACTTGGTTAATTCCCCTAAGTCAGGGTCAGTCCCAGCTGATAATGCCTGTGATTTATGCCTGAGTTTCTTTGCCACTTCCTCACCAATCAGAGCTGGTCACTGAAGGGTTTGTGGCAGTGCCTTTGTGCCCAAAGTATTGTTCCCTTCGTTAGTAGGACCCATGCCATCATCCCTCCCTGTGGATACTCCTTCCAATTCTGAATTGGCCAGCAGAGATTGCCATGAGTGTGCAATAGAATCTCTTTATTTTAGAGACAGGGTGCTGGGCCCCTCCCTGCTGGCCTGAGAAGAGAAAGCCAAGTTGAATATACTTGCAAAATTACAGGCCTTTGCCACTGAGCCTCTGCACCTGCCAGCAGCCTTGCAGTGAGATCGCCTTTTGTCAATAAAACAATACTTCATTAGGAAGTCAGAAGATTTCCTTGTATGTTACTGAGGTAATTCAAACTTGGTACAGCGGAGAATAGGTTTTATACCAAATACTATATTAATTAGACGAGAGCTACTGAAATGAACACCATCAGACACATTACACTCACTAGCTTCCATTCCCTGGTTAAGAAAAATCTGGAGCTCAAAATGGATTTTTATTCCCCTAGTATAGGAATAAAGGGTTTATAAAATAATTCTAAGCATTGGCTGAATTTTTGTGATTAAGTTTTGGGTTTATCAATCTTCAGCCGTAAAGAACCTACATATGTAGCAGCATTTATTCGTTACCAGTCGGCAAAATGAGTCAGAACTTCTTATACTATACAAAAACTTCTAGGCAGTTTTTTTTTTTTTTTTTTTTTTTTTTGTAAGACAGGGTCTGGCTCTGTCACCCATGCTGGAGTGTGGTGGCATAATCTGGGCTCGCTGCAACTTCTCCCTCCCAGGCTCAAGCAGTCCTCCCACCTCAGCCTCCCGAGGTGTGTGCTACCATGCCCAGCTTTTTTTTTTTTTTTTTGAGATGGAGTTTCACTCTTATTGCCCAGGCTGTAGTGTAATGGTGTGCTCTTGGCTCTGTGCAACCTCCACCTCTCAGGTTCAAGCGATTCTCCTGCCTCAGCCTCCTGAGTAGCATGGTAGCCTGCCACCATGCCCAGCTAATTTTTGTATTTTTAGTAGAGATGGGGTTTCACCATGTTGGCCAGGCTGGTCTCGAACTCCTGACCTCAGGTGATCCACTGGGTTCGGCTTCCCAAAGTGCTAGGATTACAGGCGTAAGCCACCGTGCCTGGCTTAGGATTTTTTTTTTATTTTTATTTTTTTTTTCAGTGAGTGTAAGTGTATGACTGCTCATGACTGCTTTTTTCTTGATCACTCTCATCCTTAACACTGGTGCTTGACTTCACCAGTGGTACTAGGCTGCTTTCCTTGGTTTTAAATCGCTGGTAAGCCAGTCCATTTCTTTAAGTCTTTTCGTTTAGTTTTTAAAAGTATCTTGTTCCATTAATTTCTTTAACAGTGCTTCTTGGAGCTATTTGGGAATTTCCTTTCATAATTGTAATCTTAAGTTTATTTTTCACTCTAGTGGCATCACTCTCTGATGGCATCTTTTGTAAGCATTCATTGTCACCTTTGATAAAGGGGATATTTTAGAATAATTATACTCAGTGTTAAAATATTTTTCTCTGCTGCTCATTCACTGACAGTATGCATATAATAGTTCAAGTGATACAATGCACCAGATGGCAAAGTAGACCAGTCCTAAGTAATTTTTCAATTATAAGGCTGAAATGTTGTGAAAATGTAGGATTGGTCTGTCTCTTCCCTGCCACATTCCAAGATTTAAGGCATGATATATGTATCTTAGCCCTCAAGGAATTTAGACTTCTTCAGTTTAGGCCCTTGTCAGCACATGGACTGTCTTAATTCAAATTGGAAGAGACCATAGTGGGCATCTGTTTGTCCTGGCTGCTACAGGACTCCTCAATTTCTTATCCAACCTCTGTTTATAAATACTTCCAGGCCAGGCGCAGTGGCTCACACCTGTAATCCCAGCACTTTGAGAGACCACGGTGGGTGGATCACCTGAGGTTGGGAGTTCGAGACCAGCCTGGCCAACATCGTGAAACCCCAATTATACAAAAATACAAAAATTAGCTGGGCATGGTGGTACACGCTTGGCACAAGTCCCAGCTACTTGGGAGGCTGAGGCAGGAGAATCACTTGAACCTAGGAGGCAGAGGGTGCAGTGAGCCGAGGTCATGCCACTGCATTCCAACCTGGGCAACAAAGCAAGACTCTGTCTAAAATAAATAAATAAATAAATAAATAAATAATAAATAAAAATTCCAGTGATGGGGAACTCATTAACATTTGTTAAATTTTGTTTGTTTTTCATTATAAAAATGATACATGCTTATTATAGAAACTTTGGAAGATGCTAAAAATAAGACTTGAAAAAAGAGGGGAGGACCCGTATACCATCTAGAGGCTCCTATTACCTTGTTATATTTCTTTTTTCCCCCCTGTTCTTGAAGTCTGAGTATTTTTTTTTTTATAACCGCATAAAATTTCATTGAATCAGCCGGGCATGGTGGCTCACGCCTGTAATCTCAGCACTTAGAGAGGCCAAGGCGGGCGGATCACGAGGTCAGGAGATTGAGACCACTCTGGCCAACATGGTGAAACCCCTTCTGTACTAAAAATACTAAAATTAGCAGGGCATGATGGTGTGCACCTGTAGACCCAGCTAGTCAGGAGGCTGAGGCAGGAGAATCACTTGAACCCGCAGGGCAGAGGTTGCAGTGAGCCGAGATGGCGCCACTGTACTCCAGCCTGGGGATAGAACGAGACTCCGTCTCAAAAAAAATTTTTTTTTTTTGTTGAGTCTGTTTCCTGTTATTAAGATTTAGGTTGTTTGTTTCACTCTCTCTGTTGTTTTACTTAACCTGGTGTTGAAAACCTGACTTTTTGAGGTAGTCTGTGGTTTTTGACAAGAACATACTATATTTAGAAAGTTATTACATTAACCACATATTTGGGTATCTGTGAATTGGACTATTTAATCTTGGTATGGAAACACTTAAAACTACTACAGAGGATTTTAAGAAGCATGCTAGTAAATAAATGAAGAGGGAATGGTAGAAAAATCATCAATTTGCAACCACCAGTGTAATAACTGGTTCAGCAAGGACCATCAATGGAAAGTAAAACTATTGAGTAAAAGATTGTTGAATAGAATACTTACATGACGTCCATGTATTGCCCCACAGATTACTTGTTAAGTACAAAGATAATAATAAATTGTAATGGAGAAATCTGATGGACACCTTTCAAGCAAGTGAATCAAATCTAGTGTTACCAATAAAGAAGCAAACCTGCTACCTATGTCATTGTGGGATTCAGTGGGAAATGCCAGCATTAGCTATGTAGGGCTACTGTCAAAAAAGTTGAACCTGAATCAAATAACAATCCAGCTTACGAGATATTCTACCAGACAGCTGGCCTGGACTCTATAAATAAAAGGTCAGTGTCCAGCTGAGCATGGTGGCATGTACCTCTAGCCCCAGCTACTCAGGAGATTGAGGCAGGAAGATTGCTTGAGCCCAGGAGTTTGAGGCTGTAGAGTGCTTTAAAGGCACTTGTGGGCCAGCCGTGGTGGCTCTTGCCTGTAATCCCAGCACTTTGGGAGGCCAAGGCAGGTGGATTACTTGAGGTCAGGAGTTCGAGACCAGCCTGGCCAACATGGTGAAACTCCATCTCTACTAAAAATACGAAAATTAGCTGGGCTTGGTGGCCCGCGCCTGTCATCCCAACTGCTTGGGAGGCTAAGGCAAGAGAAATGCTTGAAAACCCGGGAGGCGGAGGTTGCAATGAGCCGAAATCACGCCACTGTACTTCAGCCTGGGTGTCTAGAGTGAGAATCCATCTCAAAATATAAGAGCACTTGTTAATAGACACTGCTTCCCAGCCTGGGAACCACAGCAGTACCCTGCCTCTTGAAAAAAAGAAAAAGATCATTGTCATGAAAGAAAAATAATGGTGGAATTAATGGAATTATCTTAGATTAAGGGAAAGTGGCTTGACAATTATATTTTCTTGATGAGATTCTGGATTTAAAAACTGTAAAGGACACTATTAAAAAATTGGGTTATATTTTTGATAATAATAAATTAATGTTAAGTTTCTTGGTATCATAATGATATGGAGGTTAGGCAGGAGAAGGTCCTAGTTCTTCAGAGCCATATGGTATTTACAGATAAAGTAGCCCCTGATTTTTATAACGTATTGTCAAGTGGTTTGGGGGGAGAAAAAAGCACAAGTGTGTATGTTATGTGTGTGTGGAGAGAGAAAACATAAAGAAATGTTAAAAATTGGTGAATCTAGGTAAAAGGTTATGTGCATTCATTGAACTATTCTTTTAACTTTTTGTAGGTTTGAAAGTTTTCAAAATAAAATGTTTAACAAGAACCCACCAGAGCATTAGTCTGTGAGCTGGAGCAATTATTATTCTGTATATCCACCCTTAATGTATTTGAAGTCCACAGTTGTGTTCCTCCAGGGATTCTTTTGAGTTTCCGCAGTGATGAGAAATCTACTGTGATCCACAGCCCACTGAGTAAATAATATAGTTTGCTTCATTAAGCATGTACTGTTTCCTCTTCTGCATTGAGCTTGAAGTCTAGGCCCTGCCCTTCCAAGCTACAGTGTAATGTCATGGATATGGGCATAGAGATGTGTAATAAATGTTTTCAATCTTCCCTGTTTTTTCCTTTAAAATTTTTCCAGTTATAAGAATTACACCCTTGTGACTGTCTTTGGAAATCTGCATCAGGCCCAGCTGGGCGGGGTGCCTGGGACTTACCAATTGGTTCGAAGTTTCCTGAACATTAAACTTCCAGCTCCCTTGCCTGGACTACAGGTACTGACAACTTTCTCTGTGTGATCAGTTACACCCCCAGAGCAGTTGCCCTCAGATTGGCATTTTCAGTTAAAATGAGGATATGTGTGGAGACTACTGTATGGAGATGAGTTCAGAGAGGGGTGACAACAGAAGGTGAAGACCTCTTAGGAGGCTGGTAGTATAGAAGTCCAGGTGATGGTGGTAGTTGCTCAGCCCAGGGTGGAGGAGAGTGCATGGAGAAGATGCCATTGGGTTCTTGACATGTTTTGAAAGCTGAGCCAGTAGGACTTGCTGAAGAATGTGGATTTGAGTGTGAGAGGCAGAGTCGGTGATGACTTCTGAGATTTTTGACTAAAACAGCTGGAAGAATGGAGTTGAATGTAGTTTTTAGGATGTGGTCTCTTCTCGGCTCATAGTCCAGTTGGGGAGATTATCATACAGTAATGCAAAGCGCTAAACTGGAGCCTTATGCAAAGGGTGGCAGGATACAGACGAGATTAGCTGCATAAAGAAGGTGAGATTCTCACTTGCTCTTAAAGAATAGGAGTTCACCAACCTGAAGTTTTGGAAAAGAGTGTACCAGGAGGAGGTAACACATGCACAAATGCATGGAGGCAGGAGAGAGTATCTGGAGGACTGGGTGCACAGTAGGGCTTGGCAAGCTTGGGGCCCACTAGTGAAGGCCTTAAGTGCCAGGCCCAGCACTTTGGACTTAAACAACTCAAAGGGGTTTAAGTGGGCAAGTTCAGATCTGGGTTTTAGAGAGAATCCTGCTGAGGGAAGGGTGGAAGTGCCAAGAAAGGAGGCCTGAGGCCTACTTCTGGAGGAGTTGAAGAAAAGCAAAGAGAGAAGCGTAAGTGCAGGCCGCTGTGCAGACAAATGGCAAAACCAGAGTTGGGATAAATAAGCTGTAGTATTCAGAGAGTGGGAACAGAGCTGTCTCTCAGATCCCCTAGTGCCCAGCAGTACCTGACACCAAGATACTGAGTAAAATGTTTATGACGTTTTATAAACTTGAGTACTATAAGGGTAGTCTCTTACTGGTCAGTGACATCTTTAGCCCTCGCTTTGTGGGGGTTGTAGGAGTGCACGTGTATATGTTATCACAAAAGAACGTCACCCAGTTACTGTGGGCCCCTGGGATTCCATGGAAAAACCACAGGGTGACTTTGGATCAGGTGGGGTACATAGCGCTTCAGAGGAAAAGCTCTGGAGCCATATTGTTACTTAACAGCTTACTTGGACAGATGACTTAACGCTTCCATGCCTCAGTTTCCTTGTTTGTAAAACAGGGAGGAAAAGGCTGTTAATGGTTCTCACCGCAGGGAGCTGTTGTGAACATTAAGTGACTTATTTTAAGGAGAGGGGCTTAGCTTGGTTTTAGCACATATGAAAGCAGTCAGCTCAGCTTTTTTTTGTTTATTTTGAGCACTTACTGTTCCTCTTTTAGGATGGAGAGGTAGAAGGCCATCCTGTGTGGGCACTAATTTACTACTGCATGCGCTGTGGAGACCTGCTTGCCGCTTCACAGGTAGTTAATCGAGCCCAGCACCAGCTGGGAGAGTTTAAAACCTGGTTCCAGGAGTACATGAACAGCAAGGACAGAAGGTATGGTGAATGAGGTGGCACGCCCAGTGGTAGCCGTGCAGAATCAAAGGGGCGACCTTCACTGTTGTTATTCTCTTTTCCCTGGACAGGCCCAAAACAAGTTTCTGCTTGGGGGAAAAAGGAGGTTTTGAAAGCAAATAGAACTCTCTTGGGAATAAAGAGTGAAAGGATTAGAAGAATGCCCCATTCTGATGCTGATGTCTAGGCATGCATGCATCTGTGTTTGGGAATTTTCCTGTTCCTACAAGGGAGGGGCTGGCTCAGGAGCATGATGTGAGTTGTTCTGTAAATCTAAGGCACATCAAGGATGCTTTATAAAATGGGACTTTTTAAAAGTTACATTTGTTAACACTTAGTGCTTCCAGTATGGAAATATGTTGTCATGTACTTCATAGCTTAAAGGCTAGAATTAGAAGTTAGTAAAATTGAAATATAATCATTGAATTAATTCATTAAGTCTTTACGTTCTCTTGCATTAAGGAACTGCCAAGCATTAATTTTCCTTGGATTTTGCTAATGTAATTGGACTTAAGTTCATACTCAAGCTGAGGTTATTATATATATGTACATGTATGTAGAAGAAATGATGGCGGTTACTGTAGTTGTACTTGTGAAAAACTAGGATACTTTTCTTGGCAGCATTAATAATGTCATGTCAAGAGATTGCCTCAAACCACAAGCCCCTGTCTTGCTCATATTAGAATTTAAAGTAGGGTTAATGTCTTAAGGTTCCCCCAGAAGGAGATTTGAGTGCAAGTTGTTTTTTTAGGAGGTGATCTCACATGAATAAGGGAGTGTGGAGGCCACAGAGGAGATAAGACAGTTAAGGGAAGGATTCACTCCTGTCCATCGCTGCTTGAGTGCTGCTGGGGTGTGGAATGGAGTTCTAATTCCCTGGCATTTCTGACTGTCCATGAAGGCCTCAGCAAATAGAAAACTGGCAGGCCAATAGATGCAGGTGCTGGTAGTTGCAAGTCAGGTTGAAGTGATGGTGCCGAGGGGAGGGGATAGGGCAGAGACAGTCTCTCTTACCCCCATGAAGGAAGGCTTCCCTGCTGTTATATGTTTGGGACTTGGGATGCTTTCATATGCCCATGAGGATCTTTATTGAGTGTGTATCTGTCTGTTCCTTTATGTCTGTAGATTGTCCCCAGCTACAGAAAACAAGCTCCGGCTGCATTACCGCAGAGCCCTCAGGAACAATACAGATCCCTACAAGCGGGCCGTGTACTGTATCATTGGCAGATGTGATGTCACCGACAACCAGAGTGAAGTGGCAGACAAAACTGAGGATTACCTGTGGCTGAAGGTAGGCACGGTTTCCTCTGCCCACACAGGGCTTTACTCCTTTTCTGTGCTCATGTCCCCAGAAAGATTTTACCTGCATAATGTATGATGCCAATAAGGTGATCAGGACCAGCGGGTTCCTCGTCTCCTGTCCCCATTTTTTATTGTGTAATTCCCAGCTCATAACCATAGCCTTAAACACAGCTTCCAGCTGACATCATTGAGCATGGCTGCTGAACAGCTACAACTCTGTGCGTGTGGCTCAGGGTGTAGTTTGTACTAATGCATGTGTTTCTCTTGGGGATTTAGTTGAACCAAGTGTGTTTTGACGACGATGGCACCAGTTCCCCACAAGACAGGCTGACTCTCTCACAGTTCCAGAAACAGTTGTTGGAAGACTACGGTAAGATCCTGGACATAACCACCTTTCCCTTCTCTTGTCCACTTGAGGTGACTACCTCAGTTTTCCTCTGGGAAAATTTTTCATCTCTGAACTTTTGTCTTTCTTTCAAAACTCCTATAGATTGTCAAGGCAAAACAGCAAACCTACCATTCCAAATTCAAATAAAGGGCATGTGGCCTTAAGTAATGCATAAAACTTATATGGTCATACACAATAATCTATTTTCTCTAATTCTTTGAACTGTTCTAGTAGACATATGCTCAGAGAGAGACAAAGAAGACGTAGCTGTTGCTTCCTAGTAGATCTTACTAGTCACTAGATCTGAGCACAAAGGAGAGAGACAGAAATAGCCTTTCTTCTTTCTTCCCCCCTATTTTTTAAAAACTGAGAAGAAAAGAAGATTCCAAATAATGGTTACCAGTTGTTGCATTCAAATTTCTGTGACTGTGAGTAAACTGAAACTCCTTTGAAATCTGCATTTCTTTCCTTGAGTGACTTAACAGGGTAAAGGAGATAGACACTCTCTGTGGTCCATTTTAAGATCCTTAACTCTGTTTCTCTCCCACCTAATGCAAGCAGTTGGAGTTTTACAGCACAGTCAAATTTCTAGTAATGTTATGAGGTCTAGAGAAGATGGAGGAGCCAGGTCACATTTCACATGGCAGTTTACTGTATTCAGGGCCCCCTTGATCAATTCAGGCTCATGCTGGTGCTTTCTTCCTGCCCATCTAGTCCTGTGGGCTCACAGGCTGCTGCCTGGGGGTTGGGCCACCAGTGAGCACCTTCTTTCTGAGTTGGTTTTATCTCCTCTCCTCTCCTCTCTCCCAGGCGAGTCCCACTTTACGGTGAACCAGCAACCCTTCCTCTACTTCCAAGTCCTGTTCCTGACAGCGCAGTTTGAAGCAGCAATTGCCTTTCTTTTCCGCATGGAGCGGCTGCGCTGCCATGCTGTCCATGTAGCACTGGTGCTGTTTGAGCTGAAGTTGCTTTTAAAGTCCTCCGGACAGAGTGCTCAACTCCGTGAGTATTTGGGATTGGGTTTACAGTAATGTAACCACAGCACGTCCCTCTTTGGGCGACGGTGGCCACAAAACCACAACCAATAAGGATTTGAGCAAAGGATACCAGTCATTTTAGAGCATGTGGACAGTTGAGCTTTTTAGATGATTAGTGTTGGGGTTCTTGCTTCCCCGCCCCAAGCATTGGTATTCCCTTGGAAGTTAAGTATATAAAGTGCTGTTCAAAGTGCTAGCTTTGTGGCCAGTCTGATTGCCTGGAAAATGGTGAAGAAGCAGCCCCTAGAGTTATGGGTCTGATTCCCATTAGGGGCCTGGCTTTAATGACATTGGAAACCCCAGTCAGGCATATGCATACCAGACTGGGATGAGAGAGTCAGGGGAGAGAGAGGAAGTAAATGTGGATGAATGGGTGCGGGTTCCTTATTGGTGTAGCAGAGTCATCCCAGAGCATGTGCCATAATGGTCAGTTGGATTATCTTTTCATTCAGAGACCAACATATTAGTAATTTACGGCAAAGTGCTGTTTTCTCCACGCTGGGCCTGGGGACAAATTGAGGATAGGGTGGTAAAAGGGACTGGCCAAAGCTTATATTGGCAAACATTGACTGGGCTGCAGGAGTAGATGCTGCTGGGTCTGTGGATTCAGCTTCCATAGTTTCTGGGTTGCCTGGGTCAGAGGAGCAGTGTGGTTGTGACCCATTCTGACCCCCACGATGCAGTCAGCCACGAGCCTGGTGACCCTCCTTGCATGCGGCGGCTGAACTTTGTACGACTCCTCATGCTGTACACCCGGAAGTTTGAGTCCACGGACCCAAGGGAGGCCCTCCAGTACTTCTATTTCCTCAGGTAACATTTGCTTTTGACCATTTACTTCAGCTAGTTTCGGTTTCTGCCATTCTGAGAATGACCGTTAGAGACCTCATGTCCAGACTAGAAACTGAGTTGGTTTTTTTCCCTTACAGGGATGAGAAAGATAGTCAAGGAGAAAACATGTTTCTGCGCTGTGTGAGTGAGCTTGTGATTGAAAGCCGAGAGGTAAGTGGGTTTCCTTTTCTCTCCTCCCGAAGGTTTTCAGTGTGCATGTTCCCATGTTCATTCCGTACTGCATGTTTACTTCAATATGGTTGTGGTGGGTAAGGCCTAGGGAGTTTTTAGAGTTTCTTTGGTTTCTAACAGTGAAAATATTTATTTCAGTCACACTGATTTTTAGTTTATGTGAGACTTATCCCATTCATCCCATTTGATTCCTCTCTTTTTTCTCTAAAGACTTATGGATTATGTTTATATCTTTGTCCAATAATTTGAGTAAACTTTTTTCCTTCCACAGTTCGATATGATTCTTGGGAAACTAGAGAATGACGGTAGTAGAAAGGTGAGTTAAATGCATCCTTAGAGAAATGTTCGTTAGCTGTTGGGGATTTATAAATATCAAAAGAATACACTTAGATTTTAAGATTCAAGGTACTAAAGATGCAAATCTGAACAGAGTTGCTTAATTTAAAAAATGGAATGAAAATTATGGGCCCAGATGATGACCTTGGTTTTACACACACTTTATATCTCCTTAAAATGTGTTAATTTGTGATTACAAAGCTTTTTTATTATGTTCAGAATATTCATTTGTTCATGCCTGTCATTTTTTGAGCTGAGAATGCTATTATACATTTCTGCCATTCTTGGCTCAGAAAGCATGCAAGAAAAAGAAATTGATTACTGCACCCATTCTCCCAAGATGGAAAAGTTAAACGTGCACTTGACCTCCTTCAAAATGCAGTTTCCAAGGGCTTTGAACTCCACAGTGACCCTGGAAATACTCCTGGAAGGCTTGAGGGATTTCAGGACTCACTGTGCCCATTGGTTGTCATGGCAGGAGAGTCAGAGATCCTGTTGTCAGAGACCAGTCCTGACCCTGAATCTCCCTGTGGCCTTTAGAAAGTCACTTGCCCCTCAGGGACTGACTTTTCTCATTTGTAAAAATGAGTGGTTTGGACCCAGCAATCTGTAGATGAGCTCACACTGCTCACAGCATCTACCTCAGAAGAAAGGCAAGTGACAGTGCTGATGACAGTGGCCTTGGTTATTGGGCGATGACAACCACCAGGCATGGTACTGAGTGCTTTGCATAGTTTCTTCTTTAACAGGCTGTACTGGGGCCAGGAGGCTCCCAGTGTGTGTGAGTTGACAGAGCTGGAAACATAGATAAGACCTTATCCTCTCCTGCCTCCCGAGTGGCAGGGCAAGTCACCTCGACCTGGTCCAGCCCTGAGAGTCCAGTGCCGGTGGAGAAGCAGAATGGCCAGGCAGAGATATTATGCACTTGCCTTCATTCTCCCAGGGTACCTAAGGCCTCTCTCATGCTCTCCTGAGCATTTAGTTGCTGTCGAGTGGTGATGGTGATTTTTTAAAGAAATGTCCTGTTACCACTTGCCATGTGTTTTTTCAGCACTGAGTTCCTTTTGCCATCTGTCTTAGAAAACAAATCCAAAATCTTTTAGATATTTTCTCTAAGCCTCCTGCTTTTTCTCTGTGGTTCCTACTCATCAGCAAATTTAAAATCATTGATTTCACTGACTCTCTGGGTCATTTTGGAAAATTAGAAAGCACAGATGTCTTATTGCTGACTCCTCTGTGCTTCTAGTAAGTCTGCCCTTTCATGTGTAGTTTCCTTGGTCTCTTTTATAGTTTTAATAGGACTTTATATCTTCAAGAAAGCCAGAGTCTGGCTGATGGAGTACATGCATTGCCCAGGGCAAGCAATTTCACTTGAAGTATGTTTTGGGTCCTAATTGCTTCTCTTTGTTTAAAATAATAGCTCTGTGCACCCGTCTGTCTCTTCCTCCCCCTCCATAATTTGTCTTGTCAGCCTGGAGTCATAGATAAGTTTACTAGTGACACAAAGCCTATTATCAACAAAGTTGCTTCCGTGGCAGAAAATAAAGGACTGTTTGAAGAGGCAGCAAAGCTGTATGACCTTGCCAAGGTAAAGTGTGCCCGCTTCCTTCTTCTGCACTTCACAGGTCTGCCAGCCTTTTGGCATTAAATGTACAGCCACTTCGACAGTGTCGTTGTTGTAGCACCCTCCCTGTAGAGGCGTTTGCTCTAGTGCTTAGACAGTTAATGGTCCAGTCAGGACAGAATTCCCATTTTACAGCTGTATTTCTTCCCATAAGATTTTTCTGACCAAACAACATATTGAAAGGATGTCCTGCAGGCATTGAACTATTGTCTCACTTGGCAGCAGAATTAGCATCCATCACATTTCCATGGTGAAGCCACTGTTGAAAATGGCATTATGCTGACCCTGGCAGCCACAGACACACTGGGGAACAGTAGTATTAGAAAATAAGACCACATCAGTGTGCAGGAAGGAGTGAAAGAAAATAAGACCACAGCTGGGCATTTTGAGACGACTAGAATGCATGTTTCTACCTAAGAACAAATGATGACTAAGAACATATGGTAGCTGCCAAGGATTCTATGACCTAAACAAGATTACATTCTCTCCTTTATCAGCTGAGAAAAGTAGACCAAAAAAACAGCTATAGGCCAAGTGCAGGGGCTCACGCTTGTAATCCCAGCACTTTGGGAGGCCAAGGTGGGCACATCACTTGAGGCCAGGAGTTTAAGACTAGCCTGGCCAACATGGCAAAACTTTGTCTCTACTGAAAATATAAAAATTAGCCAGGCATGGTGGTGCATGCCTGTAATCCCAGCTACTCAGGAGGCTGAGGCACGAGAATCACTTGAACCTGGGAGGCGGTAAAAAATGCTTTGATTGAGGTATAAATAAGATGTAGAAAAATGTGCAATAATTATATGTACAGCTTGACGAATTGTGCATAGGTATATATCTTTGTAACCACCATCCAGATCAAGATACCAAACATTTCCATCCATCACCCCAGAAAGTTCTCTTTGGTGGGTAGGGGGCATTATATACTTGTTCCTTTTATTGATTATTTTATTGATTGCTTCCTTAATTTTAAAAACGTGAGCAGAATGCTGACAAGGTACTGGAACTGATGAACAAACTGCTGAGCCCTGTCGTCCCTCAGATCAGTGCCCCGCAGTCCAACAAGGAGAGGCTGAAGAACATGGCACTCTCCATTGCCGAACGGTAAGCCAGGAGCTGGCTCCATGGGACCCTGAGGGTGCCACTGCCAGTGCCAGGCCACCTTTGCCCAACCAAATGCATGTTCAGCTTTACTAGGTAACAGCAGACAGCTTTCCAAAGTGGTTCTTCTAACTCATCATGCCACCAGCACTGCGTGAGTTCCTTTGTCCCCACATCAGAACTAGCACTTGGTACTATCAAACTTAACATTTTTGCCAAAGAAATGGGTATGAAAGGGCATTTCAGTATTTTAGTCATGCACATGAAGTTTAATTCTAGGCATTATGCTCACCTATATACTGTTGTATACTTTCATCAGCCCTCTCAAAGGCATTCAAGACCAAAGCTAGTGATAGTTGGATGGGGGAGATTCTTAGAGGTGTCGTGGCCAGTGTTTCAGACAACCTGGATCCCCAGTGAGTTAACTGAATTATCAGACTTTTAACTAGTGTAAGTCCCAGGCTGAGGCTAACAACATTACTTTTTGTGCTCTCTATAGATATTGCTAATAAAATGACCCAGAGAAAACTGGGTTTGGAGTGCTTTCCCGGGATAACACAAAAGAGCATTCTTTGGTAAATGAGGTATCTCCACCTAGCAAACAATCCCTAGTGATGGCCGCTCGGCTTTTTGCCTGTCAGGACCTCCCACCTTTCATGAAGATTGGATGCTGAGATGATGGTCAAGGCTGGAGAACCACGCTCCATGTGGAGTACCTGTAGGTGGATTCATACCAAATCCACTATCAGTGCTTGGCTGTTTCAAAATAAACACCATTTTACACTCTTTAATTAACTTCACCCAGAGAGCTCAAGAGGTTTTGATGCTTTTTATGTATTTTTTGTATGTTGAGACAGGGTCTCCCTCTGTCACCTAGGCTGGAGTGGAGTGCAGTGGTGCAGTCATAGCTCACTGTAACCTTGAACTCCTGGGCTCAAGCAATCCTCCCACCTCAGCCTCCTGAGGAGATAGAACTACAGGCATGTACCACTACACCTGGCTAATATTTTAATATTTTGTGGAGATGGGGTCTCGCTGTGTGTCCAGTCTGGTCTCTCACTCCTGGCCGGTCTCTGACTCCTGGCCTCAAGCAGTCGTTCCGCCCCAACCTCCCATGTAGCTGAGATTACAGGCATGAGCCACATGAACCACACCCCACTGTCTTTTTAAATGCTATTCCACAGGTACGGATTACACAGAAATTCCTGATACACTCTCACTCCCCCCACCCCGTTTTTGTCTTTCAGGTATAGGGCTCAAGGAATAAGCGCAAATAAATTTGTGGACTCCACGTTCTATCTTCTTTTGGACTTGATCACCTTTTTTGACGAGTATCATAGTGGTCATATTGATAGAGCTTTTGATGTAAGTTTCAGGAAAGGTGTTTGAAGTGCAGGTTAATGTACACCCTTGAAAATTCAAAACACTGCATGGAATTTACTTAAAACAAAGGAGCTGTTGCCAGTATGTTTGTTAAATGAAGAAGGACAAGTACAATCCTGGGACTTAAAGGATTTCCTGTGTTGCTTCCCCCCCCCCCCCCATTCCTTTCCCTTTTAATCTGAAAACAGATACATTTCTCAAAGTAATTTGAAATCTCTGAATTTTAAAAAATGTGTCAGAAAATGAGGATAAGAATTAAGTTAGCTAGTTAGAATCAAAGCCTTTGTGTGTACACAAGGGAGAATGGTGTTTTCTATGAAGAAGCCCTTTGGAGTATGTGAGGGTGCTGACTTTACATGTAGAGAGATGAAATGACTGTGATGGTTGTCTTACATGGGGCTGGTGGTTGTTTTAAACAGATAATTGAGCGCTTGAAGCTGGTGCCCCTGAATCAGGAAAGTGTGGAAGAGAGAGTGGCTGCCTTCAGAAATTTCAGTGATGAAGTAAGTTCCTTCTTCCTGAGTTATGGAATTCCTTTTTCCCCACTTCCACCAAAAGCTTTTTCTTTTCCTGTACCTAACAGCTTTAAGAGTTCTAGTTACAGTAACAATCCAGACTGAGTTTTCCAGAGTGGTTCCCTTTCAAATACCTTGGCCTGGCTTTTCTGTGAGTGCACATCCCCATCAGATTATTGTCTGAATTCCTGATTGAGAAAATACAGTCATTTCAGTGATTGACATGTTCTTGGGAGAAACAGGTTTCTGGTTGATACTGTGAAGTCTGGTTTAATTCTTCTATTATCCACTTATACTAGAGGGTATTTTGGTGCTTAACTCTGATCATCTTTAAGTAGTTCCACTGGGTACATGAAACACATCATGATGCACTGCCACCCTTGCCCTCCCTGATCTGTTTTGTCTAAAGAAGCAAATTCAGTGACTATGACTATCACCCCATAAGCCCCAGAGCCACTGTCTGTCTGTCGGATTTCTAGCATATTGCCAACATCTAGCCCAGGGTGCTCAGCTGGGCTGCATACTGGCATCTCTAGGAGAGTTTCTAAGAACTCTCATGCCCAGACCCCAGAGATTCTGGTTTCCCTGACTGCTGCAGCCCAGACCTCCCCGAGTCATTCCAGTGTGTGACCCAGGTAAATTCATCTCTAGAACTACAAACACTCAACTCAGCTCTCAACACTATGCTAGAACCAACTGCCTGGCTCTGGGATGTCACTAGCGGTTTTTCAGTTTAAAATTATTCCTCATTGAGCAGATGCCTTTTATAAAATGTCTCCGGCCAGGTGCGATGGCTCACTCCTATAATCCCAACATTTTGGGAGGCTGAGGCAGATGGATCACCTGAGGTCAGGAGTTGGAGACCAGCCTGGCCACCTTGGTAAAATCCCGTCTCTACTAAAAAATATAACAATTAGCCGGGCGTGGTGGTGCATGCCTGTAGTCCCAGCTATTCAGGAGGCGGAGGCATGAGAATCGCTCGAACCCAGGAGGCGGAGGTTGCAGTGAGCTGAGATTGCGCCACTTCACTCCAGCCTGGGCGATTGAGGGAGACTTTGTCTCCAAAAAAAAAAAAAAAAGTTTCTGTTTTAGAGAAAGAAGTAAGGCCAGTTCTGTACATGAAGAGGGATGTTGACTACTGTGGTACACACAGTTCAGAAGTCTTACCCCTTGCTGACTTTCCCTTTATACCTGCTGTGGTTTCTACCCTTAGCCACTTGCTCCTTTGTTATTTCTAGCCTTTCCTTGAATACATCCTTCACTGCATCAGAAATTAAAGTAGTACACCAGGGCCTGCCCTTGTAGACACTCCCAAGGACTCTGGTAGGGCCATGCAGATCCAGTGGAAACAGCCCACTGACTTTGAGAGAGTGGGGAGTGGTAGGGACTGTGGAGAAGTAGCATGTGCACCTGTACCTCCTGACATTCAAATTCAAATTATGTATTGGCATCCACTCTGCTGGCCAGTCTAAGCCTAATGCTAACCAGATGTCAGCATGCTTTTTTTGGCTTGCTGCCCCTGACTAAGGGAAAAACAGCATAAACAGCACAAAGGAGCAGAAGCAGTAACCACCTGACCTGAGCAGCATTGCTTGGGTTTTTTTCTCACACTTGATGTTTCAGTGCCATCAGCTCCTTTTGGGTGACTGTGTGGCTCTCCACCTGGTAATGGTGAGGAGTGATGGGACCAGGCCCGCCTGCAGCAGCCCACCCTCCCTCCATCTGTGGTTGGCCCGAAAGGCTTGGTTCTTTTTCTTTACTCCGTTTTTCTCTCTGTGTAGATCAGGCACAACCTCTCAGAAGTGCTTCTTGCCACCATGAACATCTTGTTCACACAGTTTAAGAGGCTCAAGGGGACAAGTCCATCCTCATCATCCAGGCCCCAGAGAGTCATCGAGGACCGCGACTCTGTAAGATCCCAGCATTCACGAGAAACATTGCTGAGCACCACCTTTCTGGTTTGGAATCCGTTGCACTCTTATTAAGAGACCACATGACCCAAAACTGCTCTTTCTCCTTAGTACCTGGCAGCTGGATAAATCTCGTGTTAGGGGGCTCCCAGAGGAAATCAAACATTAAAGGGATTGCTGCTCTTCTCAAGCTTAAAAAAATAAAAAGATATGCTAGGTCTGCAAATCTTACCTTTTAACAGATCACACAGAATGCTAATTTCTAGTTGACTTCTTAAGAACTTCCTGCACATTTTAAAAGATAAGTTTATTTTGTTAGTCCTAGCTCATTAGTGAACACTTTTATTAAAACCATACTTTATTTTTGATCAACACATTAATTTAATGTGAACCCTTGTTTCTCCTGTCACGGTGTTCACAGTGACCCTAGAGAGGTAACTAGCACAGCATCTTATCCACTCTCACAGCTGAGGAAACTGAGCTGTGGAGTTGGGAAGCAACTGCCCTCAGGTGGCAGGTAGGTGAAGGGGCCATGTCTGGAGGTTGGGTGTCTGACACCTGTGCCCTTTCTGCTGCCTGTGGGACCTCTGGCAGTGCATGGGTCAAGTGGAATCCAGGTAGCTAGAACCCTGGGGCTCACAGCATATGTTGTCTGATTACAAAAAAAAAAAGAGCAAAGGTATTTTTTGACCCAATTAAACCGTAAGGGGATAGTACAATGGTGTTTTCTTTTCTTTTCTTTTCTTTTTTTTTTTTTTTTTTTTTGAGGCAGGGCCTGGCTCTGTCGCCCAGGCTAGAATGCAGTGACATGATCTCAGCTCACTGCAGCCTCCACCTCTTGGGCTCAAGCCACCCTCCACCTCACCCTCCCAAGTAGCTGGGACTCCAGGTGTGCACCACCACACCCAGCTGAGTTTTGTACTTTAATAGAGATGGAGTTTTGCCATGTTGCCCAGACTGATCTCGAACTCCTGAGCTCAAGAGATCCCCCCAACCTCGGCCTCCCAAAGTGCTAGGTTTATAGGCGTGAGCCACCGTGCCCAGCCCCACAATGATGTTTTTTAAAATTACCTTTCCTTTAACATTTCCACTTAATTTTTGATGAGACTCTCAGGATCTCAGTGTCTAACATCAGACTTGGTTTTGGCAGCCAAGAAGCCTTGTTCTGTCTTCTGCCTCTGAGGATGTCTGTGAGCTCTTTCCACTGTGACCCCACAGGCATTGTTGTTGATAAAACTTGTGCTTAGGGAAAGATGGTGGAAATTTCCACCTTTAGGAATGTGGGTAACAGTGCTCAAGAGTGGTCCACTGAAGTGGTCAGCCCGTCCAGGTGCGCACCAGAGCATTTGCTGGTCTTCTCCCTACCCTGGACAGATAGGAATCTAAACGCCAGATGTGCCAGCGGTGGGCTCATGGTGCCTACCACTTGGCAGGAATCTTTTTTGATAATAGAAACCCAGTGCAGTGATGTTTGTGAATGTGAGTATTGAGATGGTGGATACTTCTTGGTGCTCTGTGTGCCACTTACAGTTCAGGCAGGCTTGCCCACTGAGAGGAGCTGGTCCCTGGCAGGCCATGTCCCATGTCTGAAGATCATTCTCCTGCCTGCCTTTTGCCCACCACTCTCCTTTTTCTTTCTTTTTCTGAAAGGTAGGGGCGAATAGGATTAAGTAAAAGGTTATATATAAAAGTTGCGTGCCCAAGAAGTCTGCAAGCCCACTGATGTCCTTGGTTTCATGGTTTAAAGTGAGATACTGGAGTGAATCCTTTTACTTGAACATCCCTAGAGCTCATTTCAAAGAGCCCATGCACTTTCATTCACTTCTAAAGAAAATACAATGGGTATTCCTATCACAAAGTCAGATTTCTTTTTGTTTGGACATTAGTAAGGACATGCACTTGCTAGTTTGTTTTACACATCAGGTAAAAAGCATTTGCTTTTCAATTTTCTTCTGGAATGGTCCTTAAGTAAGCCTAGTAGACGACTCTTCAGTTTTTCTTTAAATTCTTGTTACTAGTCCAGAAAGGTGTTTGTAGATTCTCCCTTTCTAGTCCAGATTTGGTTTAAATTTGTAGGGCCACCTTTTTCCCTCCTGGAACAATCCAGGAATTCCATAAATACTGTTGCCTGGGGAAAGAAGGGCTAAGCATGTATGTCAGGAAGGGAGAAAACAGGAGGAACGAAAGGAAGGAAGAGGAAAGATGCATGGGAGGAAGAAAGCCGGCGTGGGACTGCACAGTCACAGCCCTTGCCTCCGGTGTTACAAGGGCTTCATGGGGCTCTGGAGACTCAGATCCCTGTGAAAGCAGATGGACAGAAACCAGCCAGAGAGAGAGGCTCCGAAAATTGGAGCAGGCAGTTCTGAAGCTCAGGGCTGTGTCAAAAGCTAGCCAAATGCGTTGGGGCGAGGCGGCTTGCCTGGCAAACCCATCTGCTTTTTGCTTAGTAAATGGGTTTGGATGCCTGTGGAACAGGGGCCTCGGGGGACGAGCTTTGTTAACTTTTTGTCATGCTGAAGGAATACGACAGAGGAGGGTACGACTGTCATCCACCCACCAGGGATCTGTCCCTGACACCCCGGGGTGGAGGATGGAAGAACATGGACTAGTGCCCTGACTCAAAAGTTAACCAGTTTCCTTTGCTTCCTTCCCTTTTCTCTCAGCAACTCCGAAGTCAAGCCCGAACTCTGATTACCTTTGCTGGAATGATACCCTACCGAACGTCTGGGGACACCAATGCGAGGCTGGTGCAGATGGAGGTCCTCATGAATTAAGTGCCATGCTTTGGGGACATCTGGGTCGGCACACTGTCAGTACATCAGGCACATGGGCCCACTAGGGTGGGGTTTCTGGTTTTGTTTCTGTTGTGTTTTGTTTTGGTTTCTGTATTATGTATTTTTGTCAACACCAATAAATTTCTTTGATTTGTATTTCTTTTCAACATTCTTTTATTTTCTTTTTTTTTTCCTTTGAAATTTTGTTTACATTTTTATTTGTGTAATGGGGGATGCTGTCACTAGCTCTTGGGCCAGGGAATGAGAGGCTATGTAGATATTCATTATTTGGTTAAATTGACCTTAAATAATTAAAAATTTACCCAAAATGAGCCAGGAAACAAAGCCTTTGGGAGTTACTTTTATTTAGATATAATATGCTATATAGCAGAGTCACGATTCATTTTCACATTTTTATTTGAATGTGAAAGTCAACCTCAGCCTTAGAAGATGTAAGATTTGTGTGTGAAATATCAAGCACTCCATGTCCTCCTCTTCTCGGGTGTGACTTAAGTCCAGATGGTCCAAGACCATCCCCCAAATCATCAGCTCTGATTGCAGGATTCATCAGTTTGCTGTTCTCTTGCAATCCCAGTGGAGATAAAAGCATAGACCTAGAAAAAGCCTTAAGAAAGAAGGTTGCAGGTGCCCCAACTTGCACTTGAGGAAGGGGTAAACCTTGCCACTGCACTCCTCTGTAACTGCTCCACTGTGAGTTGACTGCTCGAGCTTATACACATCCCTCCTAGAAATAAGTTTAAACCTGTCTTTCCCTTCTCTGGTGGTCAGTTCCTCTGCTCAGATGACCCCCATTGCTCTTCCCCACTCATGAAGGTAATTGGCCAGGCAAGCTCATGGGTCACATGCTGAGTCTGCAGTGTACAGAATCCAGACCACCACATGGCATCAGCACTGTGGGTGTTTGCTCCCTGAGCAGTAGTTGTCACCCATCATTTGCTCTGTTTCCCCCACCAACAATCCCAAAGCCCTGAACTAAACCAGAGAGGAAATTAGGTCGTGTTTGTTCCTTAATGGGCCAACGAGCCTTGAGACACTGGGCAGCGGTCTGCTCTGCTGGTTTGATGGATGGATCCCTGAGGTAGACTCTTTCCCAGCAGAATGTTAAGATCCCCAAAGGGTCCCCAAAGATGCCTTTGCTTGTAAGGAGAAGTTTCTTGTCACAGGGTGTGGTCATCCCCACCGTCCCCCAGTTGTTAAAATAATTGTTACCTTTTCTTTTGGGAAGAAATAATCTGTAGATAATGGGACCAACTGCTGCTTATTGGTAGGATTCCATGTTCCAGGAAGGATGCAGCCTGAGGGTCAGCGGAGCTGTGTTCTGCCTTCCTCCTCTAGTCTCATCTTGTCACCCTATCTTCAATTGAGCTTTACTAGAAAGTCTTGAAATGTGAGCCCTTTAGAGGACTTGATTTAGCAAGTTGTGCCCTGCTTAAATGTGCTGATTTAAGCTAATCAGATGATTTAATAGTGCTTTTTAAAAAAGAGTACTCCTGGCCAGGTGGGATTGCTCACACCTGTAATCCTAGCACTTTGGGAGGCCGAGGCAGGTGGATCACCTGAGGTCAGGAGTTCGAGACCAGCCTGGCCAACATTATGAAACCTCATCTCTACTAAAAATACAAAAACTCGCTGGGCGTGGTGGCAGGCACCTGTAATCCCAGCTTCACAGGAAGCTGAGACAGGAGATTTGCTTGAACCTGGGAGGCAAAGGTTGCAGTGAGCCGAGATTATGCCACTGCACACCAGCCTGGGCGAAAGAGTGAAACTCCATCTCAAAAAAATAATAAAAGAGTACTCTGGCCAAGTGCAGTGGCTCACGCCTGTAACCCCAGCACTTTGGGAGGCTGAGGCAGGCTGTTTGCTTGAGGTCAGGAGTTCGAGACCAGTCTGGCCAACATGGGGAAACCCCGTCTCTACTAAAAATACAAAAATTAGCTGGGTGTGGTGGCGGGCACTGTAATCCCAGCTACTCGGGAGACTGAGGCAGGAGAATCACTTGAACCCAAGAGGCGGAGGTTGCAGTAAGCCGAGATTATGCCACTGCACTCCAGCCTAGGCAACAGAGTGAGACTCTGTCTCAAAAATAAACATAAGAGTACTCTGTGGACTTTTCATAAAGTGCGACTTAGTGCTCTGTTTTTCTAATACTAGATTTTACTTGCAGATAGAAATATAACAATGCCACAAATGAGAAGGCTCAAGTTGTTAATGTGTTTGCTCCTGGCTTATCTCTTCTTTACTATCCCATGAGAATCGTGGATTTGCCTTTCCTTGCATCGTGCAGTTCTACTTGTCCCAGAGAGAACTGCACACCAGCCCTGCATCCGGGAGATGAGGTTCTTTGACCTGTAGATGAGTCCTAAAATGAGAAGGGAGAGAAAAGCAGCCAGACCTTGAGCTACGCTGCTAGGGGAGCTGTGAGTTGGGAGAAAAGTGGTCACTGGTTGGCAGTTGAGGACTTGCTGAGAGAGACATTTGTAGGAGAAATAAGATAACTAGGTTCATACCAGAAGGGCCAGGCCTCGGATGGAGCAAATCCCAGTTCTTGTCCTACCAGCTGATTCTGTGATTGGGCACAGGCCTCAGATTGTGCAGAGATGAGAAACAGGCTGAATTTGCAAGGCTACAACATCAGGTTGTCATGTGCCCATGATTACAGCTTATGCCCAGAAGTCATGACCCTGTGACAGGTTATTGGCTTAAAAACTCATCTTTGGTTCACTTTTTCAGAGAACTAACTCTTTCCTTAGATGTTGGGCCAGGATTTCACTATTTACCCAGAGAGACTAAGAGAAAGTGGCACTAGGCGTCTCTTATCTTCCAGATGTGAGATTTCGATCTTTCTAATGAAATTGGGGGCACTTGGAGGCTGTCAGGGTTTGTTCCTGTCTCAGAATGGCTCATAATAAACTCACTGAAACCCTCAAAGGAAAGTACTGACTTGATCTGGATCCTTTTCAGAGGCCTGGAGATTTAATTTCACAGATTCTCTTCTTTTGGCTTAACAACCACAACAAAAAAAAACCCTTGACTCCCCAACTTCAGAGGGAAAACTGAAGCGAAACTGGTGAGCTCTGCCACAACAAATGCCTTGCCTTTATCAATAACTCATGAGCCGGGTGGGCTCCTCAAAGAGCAGGAAGCGCCCGTTTACACTGGGGCCAGGATGCAGACCCAGCTCCCGTCCTCCACAAACTTACAGTCTAATTAGAGCCTCTTAAGGACAATTTGGCAGCCACTGTTACTCTTCTGATGCATCATTTAAATCCTAGAATAGGTAGCTTTAAAGCAAAGAACTATAGACTTTTCCACAGTGTCCAGCATTTGCTGACCGAAAAAAAAACCTGAGGGTGATTTTTCTCTTTGGATTTTTACCCTTGCCTGCACCTAGCCAGAACCCTTAATACTAAATTTAGCAATCATATGTAGCAACACCCTCCTGCTTTAGACTGGATCTCTACTATCCTTTTTGTCTATTAGGCACCAGAACCTTTATCTAGTTCATTAGGTAGTTCACATCACTTGCCACATTTCTAGCATGCCACTCGGGAAGTGACTTTAGGATACTGAATGCTGAGTCACAAAATGAAGCCCTGGGCTGGCAGGTTGCCCCAGGCCTGCCAAAGTCTTGGCAGTCCCCACACTGACTGGGAACTCTCCCTTAGCCTCAGTCAGCTGGGAGAGGAATTGAGCCCTGCATCAGCAAATAGGGGGAGAGTGTTACATATAAAATTCTTGATAGAAATGTGTGTTTTATATCAGAATTGGGCTTTTGTTCCTGCATCTCATTAAACAGGAGTTGTCTAGAACTATGTAAGAAAATGTCCCCCATCCTTTATCCTACGCTGAATCCAGAAGTCATCCCATCTCCCGCCATCTTCTGACAATTCCATAATATATCGGTATCCCTCACAGGGCAGGGACAGGAAGGAAATAAATCTATCTTTCTGCCACTTGTTTCCAACTGAAAGGAAAAAAGTTACAAATTACTAAAGTGTCCTGAAAAGAGATTTCAAGTGGTCTGTGCTGCTTTTTTGCCTCCTTACACACATAACTTGTGATTGGCTAGATAGGTCACATGTATTTATCAGCCAAGTTTCCATTTCAGCAGATCATTTCAAAACCTCTTTGTGCTGGGCCATGCTAGGTAGCCGGAATATCTGAGGTAAATCAAGCACTGATTTGTTCCCAGAGCTGTGCATAATGCTTTAAAAGTGGGCTGGTTTTTTTTCCTCTTGGCCCGGATCACCTAAGTGAAGTACTCGTTGTTCTAAGTTGCTAACCCAGGGAAAGAGGATATTTTCCTGTCCTAACCTTGGTTTTTGAAATAAGCTTCTCCTATGTGCCCTCCCTGGGGTCTCTGGCCCACAGCGGATTGCTCAGCAGATATGTGAATGAGCAGATGCTTTGCTTTGGCCTCCTGTGCCAAGCTCCTCCCCACATCCTCTCGAACAGCTCCATGTGCCTAGATTCAGACTCCGTGATTCACCATGGGGTCCCTTAATAGGCATTCAGTCTGAAAGAAGGTGGAGGAGAATGTCTCCCAGGATGAGATGAGACTCAGGGCTGTTCCTTCAAAGACAGAAACTTGCAGAGCTGCACAGCAGCAGGGAAACATTGAGAAGGGGGTGGAAATTTGATGTACTGTGAATAACGAAGGCCAGATCTTTAAAAAGAAAAAGGGAGGGGGTGCTGGCAGAAACCCAACTGCACTGGCACACTGTACGCCCGGCTGCCTTTGCCCTTGAGCTTCTATTTCTTGGGGATGGGGAGGGCAAAAAAGTTTGCCCTGGACACTGGCTTCTGTTTGAGCAGGAAGTGGGGAGCCAGTGATCCCAGAGGGGACTTCAGTATCAGAACATATGCTTTGGTGGCCTAAGCAGACCTGGCCTAGGCAGGCTTTCAGGTGGCACTCAGGGCTTTATGGCCTGCAGATAAGGCCCCTTCATCTGGGTCAGACTTAGCAAATAAAAATATAGGACACTCAATTAAGTTTGCATTTCGGATAAATAGTGAAGAAGTTCCTAGTGTAAGTATGTCCCAGTTCTATGTGGCTTCCCTATCTGGGCTTGCCTCTGCTGGTACTTGCTGCCCAGAGACCTTCAGGCCTGCCACGGGCTGCCGGGAGCTCTCTAGTGGAACTGGA